TACATTGCTATTATTGCATGAGTGTGCCTGACTGAATCCTCTCTTTTGTGTTTTGCAGCTCTATGGCTACTCGTGGGTTATATTGCTTGTTATTGTGTTCTTGTTTAAGGTGGGTACTAAGATTTTCATTAGTTTTTTCTCCAGATTTGATTTTTTGGTATCCCATCACACTAACATGTTATCATGTCTCCTTGTTACTTCAGCTTTTCTGGTATAGCCCCAGAAAATCGAGCAACATTCTGCTGGCACTGCGTTTTCTACAGGGAGTGGCTTCGCTCACATTCATCGCTCTCATCGTTGTAGCCATTGCACTAACACCGCTATCGATTCCAGACATGTTTGCATGTGTTCTTGGTTTTATCCCGACCGGTTGGGGTCTACTGTCTTTAGCAATCACATGGAAACAGGTGCTTCGGGTCCTGGGCTTGTGGGAAACAGTTCGTGAGTTTGGGCGTATATATGATGCTGCAATGGGTATGCTCATATTTTCTCCTATCGCCCTTCTTTCCTGGTTCCCTTTCATCTCCACGTTCCAGTCTCGTCTCCTCTTCAACCAAGCCTTCAGTCGCGGACTTGAAATCTCCATTATCCTCGCCGGAAACAGAGCTAATGTTGAGACCTGATGAACGAGAGAGAGAGAGAGAAATTAGTGTGGAAGTAGAAGAAGTATTAGACATTTTGTTTGTTGAAATGTAATTGAGCTTTGTAGAGTTTGTAGAACGTCACTGAAAGCTCATCGACTCGGATTTTATATGTTTGTAATCTTAGTTTTGTTTACTCTAAAAGCTTAATCTTGTGTTACTGTTTATTGTCATAGGTTGACTATATTTTGGTAACTTGATTATTGTTAAATTGAGATTTGTTGATTATCTGAGAATCTTTGATCTCTGGTTAAGAGACTCTTCCTAGTTCCTGAAACTAAAAAAATTATATATAGTGGTCAGTGGATGTGTAATGGTGGTGGTGTTCTTTAATTTGTGCCAATGGGTGGTGTATGTTACTTGGCTTAGATTGGTACTTGAAGTCGTAGCACGCTGATTATGTAATCCGCCATTAATCAAAAATACATGATGATTTATAGGTAACAGTCACCATAAGTGATATATTTTGTCACAAGGAAAGATCCGATTGCTTGTTAATACGTAATGACAGATAAACATCATTGTCTCAGAAAAATTAATATTTCATGTGGAATTTAGTAGTTGTGGATTTACCCTTGGTGACATAAGACTAAAGAGAAAAAAGCTCTCAGTAATTTTTGAGAGAGAGGCCGACTAACTTGTTACCGTCCGGATATTTTCCGGTTATCAATTCCCGTTTAGTGGGCGTTCTTCCAACACTCACCAAATCCTTTATGGTATTTGGTTGGCTTGTATCCGATATCGATTTGACTTCCATAGTCTCGATGATCGGCGTGGCCGTCAGCGATTCTTGCCGCTTTGCTCTGGGTTGTTCATGACCGAATAAAGTTTATGTTGGGGTGGTCAATGATGTGTCCAAGCCACATACTCTTGAAATCAATTTTGATCCCTAGCTTTCATGCGTCTTCAAATCCTTCAGATTGAGCTTCTCTTCCCAAGGCCTTCAACCGATTGATCCCAATCTCTCATCTCTGAGATGGGTGATGTTTCAGTTAGGCGGCTCCTTCAGCTTCCTCCAACAAGAATTCACAATCAGATTTGGGTCAAGATCTGAAAGGTCTACTTCTGCTTATCAGTCAACATGTTTTTGATGGTTCCAAAGCTTCATCATCGAAGCCTCATCAAATTGGGTTTGCAAGTGGATGTTTTATTTTCTTAAGTCGATTTAATAACAAGAGAGGAAGAGTAGTTCAGAGTTTTCCGATGGTTATGGCGATTTCCATCATCAACAACAAAATTCAGTTTTCGGAAAAGAAGTAATTGTGTTTTCAGATGCTTCTCAAAGGAATTATCTAGGGGTTAATTATTAGATTTCGTTTGTTTAATTGTGGTTTTGTGTGTGTAATTGACTTATGTTATTGTACTTTTGGTTTGTGTTTTAGCTCCGGGGAATTCTCGTTTCCGCCGGCTAAATATCCAGGGACTTACATGTGTCCTCGAGCTTTGTATCATACGTACGTTTCTCATCCTTCATTTGAAGGTTTGAATAAAAGTTCGATTGTGAAAAAAAAAACATAAGACTAAAGAGCAGATTTGGGAAAAGTAATTTGAAATTAAGAATTAAGGAACATCTCACAGCTCACATCGTTCTGGTAAAAAAAAAACACAGTGTGGTCACGTAAATCGTGTATGACTTGTCATTTGCTTATTAATTTATTACTGTATTATACTATCGCCTAAAGTCCTCACTTTTAGGAGAAGTAGACTAGTAAACGCTTCTGACTAAAATACAATTAAATTAAGAAACTGAGGTTCACCAAAAATTCCAAAGTGAACAACAAAAGCTCACTAATACTCAAATTAAGTTCTTAAACACAACATTCCGATATGATTTTTCAATTACTACGACACAAAATTTGGATTAGATACACTAGTACATGTGCATCGATAATTCATCAATCAATAATATTCATCCTTTTATTTGGTACAAAAATCAAGAATATTCATCTAATAACTAGAGTAACCAACAACCACCATTGTTTATTTAGACTTGCTTTATTAATTAAAAATATAAATTGGAATTAGACAATGGTTCTAAGTACCTCTAAAACGTTGATTACCAAAAAAAAATGTACCTCTAAAACGCGAAAAAAATAAAAAGAGAAGATTTATTAGATAGTTTGAGGAACAAATTAGAAGCGTAGAAGGAACACACAAAACATGGCTTCAAGTACAACAACACGACGAACCACTTAAAGCTCAACACCTTTGACTCTCTCTCTCTTTCTCATCTCCAATAAAACCAGTCACAGAAGCGCAAAAACTCCAAAAGTTTAAGGTACAAGATGGGAAATTTGTCGGACGACGTGGTGATAATCAGTCAATCGGAGAAAGAAGGTGACCCGAGTGTAATAACCATCAATTGTCCTGACAAAACTGGTCTAGGTTGTGATCTCTGTCGTATCCTCCTCTTTTTCGGCCTCAACATTGTCAGAGGAGGTAACAATTTCCATCATTACACTTTGGTTTCAATTTAGGAGGTAACAACATCTTATGAATGTGTTCGATTAAATTCCTCTGTGAAGATGTATCGACTGATGGGAAATGGTGTTACTTGGTCTTCTGGGTGATTGGGAAACCTAACACAAGATGGAATCTGTTGAAGATGAGACTTGTAGAGGCAAGCCCTTCTTTTTCTTGGGCCTTTGGTATCTCAAGATGTTACCTTTCTGATTCTGAGTCTCAGCCTCCCAAGCTTCCTGATCTTTTCCTTTTGAAGCTAGCTTGTTCTGACCGCACAGGGCTTCTCTATGGTTAGTTAGTCTCTTTCTATTGGGTTCTTGAGTCTTTTGAATTTCAGGTAGATGTGTCCTTACTGTTTCTATATTGACAGATGTCACAGAGGTTCTTTACAAGCTTGAGATTAACATTGAGAAAGTTAAGATATCGACTACCCCTGATGGAAAAGTAATGGACTTGTTCTTTGTCACAGACACTAGGTATATAAACTGCAAATCTAAATAGGAGATTTTGGATTATATCTAGAATGGTTAAGTTAGGTGTGTTCTGTTTTTGTTCTTCTCAGAGAGCTTTTAGGGACGGTGAAGAGGCGGGATGAAGTGTATGAGTACCTGAGAGATGCCATTGGAGATTCAATGATCAGCTATGACATTGAACTTGTTGGCCCAGAAATCACAGCTCGCTCGCAGGCTTCCTCATCAGTTGCAGAAACATTGTTCTCCTCGGATGTGTCGGGAGAGCACCCGAGTGGGTTACAAACTTCAAGCAATGTGTCTATTACAGTTGACAACTTGCTAAGCTCAGCTCACACCCTTATTCATATCACTTGTCAAGATCACAAAGGCCTTCTCTATGATATTATGAGAACCTTCAAAGATTTCAACATTCAGGTTTGTGCAAGTCTTTAATGGTTTTTTCTGACCCTTAAAATTCATATGCTCAGATCTTTTTATATGATTTGCTTAAACCTTGCGACTGTTATTTACATGGGACTTGTTTTCTCGAATCTTGTTTGATGATCAGATCTCATATGGGCGATTTACCATAAAGCGAGGAAGGAACTGTGAGATCGACTTGTTCATCGTGCAATCTGATGGCCGAAAGATCCTTGACTCGAGCAAGCTAAATGCATTGATTACTCGTTTAAGAGCAGAGCTACAGCAACCTCTGAGAGTGGTAATGATGAATCGAGGTCCAGATACTGAACTTCTTGTCACAAACCCTGTTGAATTATCAGGAAAGGGACGGCCACAAGTCTTCCACGACATAGCACTTGCCCTCAAGAAGATCAATACCTGCATCTTCTCGGTATAACTCATCCAATCACACCATTCAAGCTCATACCAAACAAACACTTTTTTCTATCACCTATATTCCATGAATCAATGTCTTTAATAGGCTGAAATTGGAAGACACGTGACTGGAGACAGGGAATGGGAGGTGTACAAAGTGTTGATCAATGAAGAAGACAGCTTACCGATCCCGAGAAGCAAGATAGAGGAAGAAGTCTGGAATACTTTGATGGGTTGGGAGTGAAATTTCCAGACCTCAGGACCATCAGCTAACCTCAAGACTCATAGAGAGGGAGTATGACTGTAAGATAGTCACTTTATGGTGCAATGAGTGTATGTAGATTAAGATGATATGGTGTATTTATCCGATAAACCGAATTTTCTCTAAGCTACCATGTGTATATATGGTTTGAGTCTTTTTTTCTGTTGATGACAAAATTGTAAGTAGAGAAAAGAAGAATGTTGTAAATGAGTGTGTGATGGTTTCATAGAAAAGAAGCTAAGCTAAGCTAAGCCAAGTTTTTTTTCTCTTTGTACAGTATTGTGCTCAGATCTTTGTCATATTAAGGAAGTTAAATGGGCCGATTTAAAGGCCCAAGTGGAGAGGGTGGCTATTTCGTAATTAAGTACCTTAAAGAGGGGCAAAAAGTGAAGGAGAAACCTATGAAAAATGGCGACTGTTTAAGAAGCACACGAAGACAATCCGAAAGCTGACCACAAAGTTTTCGACTTTGCAATTTAGATAAATCTTTCTATCCATTTACACAACAACAAAAATTAAGGGCTCTCAATTTCGAATTCTGCTTCAGTGTTTTCCGGCGAAAAAAACGAATCTTTAATGGCGAAGAAAGGAGGAGCAACGCTAGCTGAGGATGCACCGTGGCGAGTTTCGTCAGGAAGACCAGTGCCAAAGATCAGTCGCTCTCCGGTTTTATCTATCTCTCAAAACCCAGAATCCGATTACGCCATTTCCGTCATGAAGGTTCCTTTTTTCTCTTGTTCCATTCATTGTTTTGCAAATTGCAATCAAATTTGGGATTTTTTTAATTATGGGTTTGCGTGTAATCTCTGCAGCATCCGAATCCAGTGGGAGGTGGGTTTGCTATGGAAGCTGTACTTGAATCTGCAGGACCTGAATGCGTTGTTCCTGGCCAAGTCACACCTCTTCGGTTACTTGGTGTTAAGGTTACTTCTTGAGATATTACTAAATACGTTTGAGTGTTGGAATGTGGAAAGAATGATGATAGTTTTCTTGCATGTGTGTAGTAGAAGTTTTTGTTATCCAAATTGATTTAGAATTCATACAGGAAAGGTGTGTCTGTCTATCATCTTTCTGTTGTCTTCATTTTTGTATAATGTTCTAGTTTATGAGGTAGTTTTGTGTAAGTTTTGATCTTTGGCTCACCCTTGAGAATAGTTTCTAAAACCGTAGCTGGCTAGTGCCTAGGTCTGCACATAAGGGATGTTTTGACTACTTTCTCTTATATTCCCGTTGGTTTTATTCATTCATGGTTTATGAGGTTTCATTTGTTAATAGTTTCACGTTTGGGTGTATTTGAATAGGTGTGGCCAGTTGAAGTTGATCTTAAATTCTTGGAACCAGTGGGAAAAGAGCTGAAAATGCTTGGGAAGGTAAAAGACCCTCGTCTTATTGCTTTGTGTCTTAATCATATTTATATACACTACTTGCACATGATCACTTGTTAATATGAGCCAATACCTTGGATGATCTTCTTTCATTCTCTGTCTTTGTTTGAGGCAATAATTTGAACTCTTGAGGCTTGTTTGCCTTAGGCTAGTGTGTTATTTGAAGTTATTGTTAGAGGGGATTAGGTTATTGTATCCTATAACTCTATCGCTATCAAGATCATAGATGGTCTTCTTTTTTTCTTTGGGTAGGCTGGTTAGTTAGGACAAATTCTAAAGTAATCATGTGGCTCAACAAGTGAGACTTAGCGGGAGTTGAACCCTGGTATCGTTTCTAGTCTAGCCACCTGGTTCTAACTGAGAAAACTGTAGGCTAATTGGGATGCATAGATAATCATCTTCACACAAACAGCTAAAGTCAGAAAATATGGATTAGACCAGGATTTTGATTGAGAATCGGATCAATCGTTATCGTAATTAGTAATGAAATGTGCTCCGCACATAGTATGAACGCATTAAATACAAAACTACCTGTACCTATTTTCTGTTTTGTTAGACTTGATCATAATTATCTTTGGCTGTAAGTTAACATCGGTCTCTCTGTTGTTCCTGAGTATGCAGTTCATGGACAACGCCGTCGAGCTGATGAATAAGTCCTTCATTGACCGCTAAGCACTATGGATAAACGGTTATATACTTGTCAAGGTTCTAAACCTGGAGTTTTGGAACTGCGGAAGATCTGTCTAGTCGCCAGAACTTGTTAGTGGCAGAGAGATCTGATATGAGCAAGTGGAATATGGTGTGCGTGTGTTTGTATAGAGGATTTTTACAGACAAAATCTATATACTATCAAATCATTAATTTGAATGACAGTTTTAAAAATGTCTTTAAAGGTTTATCTCTCCAATGTTCTTCAAGTTTTCCAGTCATTCTCTTTTGAGTTCCAAAATGGGATCAAGAATAAAGCATCTTTCATCAATGGACCTAATACGATAAAAAAATTTTACCGGTTTCACGAACTACACATGGTAAAACACGCAGGTCAAAATTAGGGCTGGGCATTCGGGTATGCGGGTCGGGTTCGGGTAAAACCCGATCGGGTACGGGTCTTTCGGGTAGAGGAGTTTAGGACCCAATAGGGTAAATCTAAAATATCGGTTCGGTTTCGGTTCGGATCTAATCGGGTTCGGGTCGGTTCGGGTTTAGATTTTTAGAACCGCTAAATACCCAAAAAATCGGGTACCCATCGGGTTCGGGTATTTTATACCCAAATACCCGAATTTTATCCGAAATTTTATCCTAATATCCGAATTTTATCAGCAATTTTACTCTAATACTAGATTGTTACCCGCGGTACACCGCGGGTTAATTATTTGATTTTTTTTTTCTTTTTATAAACTGATGAATTTGTTGTATATAATATTTTTTGTTGTACATTGCGAGTCACATGCGTTGTAACTAAAAATGAAAATTTTAAGTTGTATTTGTTTTGTTTTGTGTTTAAAATTGTATAATTGTATTTTGATTTGTTAATCCCAGGATTTCACCCGTGATATATTATCCCGTATTAATATCAATCTAAATCCGACCCGTCCCACCATATAATCATGTCCCGTAAAATTAAACATCATTTTGTTATTTCTTTTAATAACACTTTTATTTAAAAGATATATAATTCGAGTCAATTTAAAAGTTTGCTTTCAAATAGTTTCTATAATATATATATATATATATTTTTTCAAATTAGTGTGTGTTTTTAGACCAACTCGTAAAAATATTTTTAAAATGTATATTAAAATACTAAATAATTGTATTTCGATTTGTTAATTTTAAGATTTCACCGTGGTATATTGTCCCGTTTTAGATAATTGTAGAAATTATAAAAATATCTGAATGACTCAATTTCGGGTCAGAGTAAAAAAAAAATACGACCTGATTAAACGAGCAAATTTGTTTTTCAAAAATGTTAATATAGATTGTACACATATTTTTTTCTTCATCGATTGAGTAATATGTCTGTTTTAAAAAATTTGAATCATAGCATATGCAGAAAAAAATCGAATTTTTTTTATTAAGTATATATATTTTATAATAGTTCAAAATAATATAAATATAAGATCATATAAAAGTGAAATGAGAATCATATATTTATGTTTTAATTAGGTAGAGAGGTTTTAGGAAATTAGTTCAAATTTGTTATATTAGCATTAAATAATCATATTTGATTTCTATATCTATAAAAATTGTAGAGAATATGCCATAAATAAAGAGTTTAGGTATAGTAATTAGTTGAGAATATATATATTTTTTAGATTTTATTGATTAATTTTCGTTTTTTAATTTTGTCAAAAATAAGGAAAGATCCGATTGAAGATTTCCGGGTCAAAATTAAACAAAATTTGACCCGATTAGGAACCCCAAAAAGTGTTGCAAAAATGTATAGTAGATCCGAGTTTCACCCGAAAATTTATCCGAATAACCAGAATTTTTTCCAAATATTTAAAAAATTTACAAGCATCTCGCGTATAAATATATTTTGTCTTAAATATTTAAATATAAGTGCATTTAATTTTTGGTAACTACTCTCGGATATTTAGATATAAATGTATTTAGCTCAAATATTATATATATAAAAAGTTTTATATGTATAAGTATATGTAATTTCGGGTAATCGGGTACCTGTTCGAGTATCGGGTTCGGATCGGGTTTTACCCCATACCCACGAGTACGGCAATACAAGACCCAATAGGGTAAATAGCTAATACCCGTACCCGCCCCGAACCGGTTTTTTTGGGTCGGTTTCGGTTCGGATACTCGGGTACGGTTTTTTTGCCCAGGCCTAGTCAAAATCCACACAGAAATCAGAACTCGACAAAACCAAACGGCTTATGTTAACAAAACTCTTAAACCGGAAAAATACCAAAAAAATAAGATTAACGTCCATAAACTACCAAAAACATACAAACTTTTAACATCGTATACTCACTTTGTAAACTAACAAAATTGGTAAAACACCACTTAAGGTTTAAGGTTTTTTTAGGCTGAGTTCTAACTAATAGTTTAACTTATACCGCAAACAAAAGCTATCAAAAAGCTATCAAAAACAAATAACTAGTAACTAGTAATTAACCCTATACTTAAACTTAAACCAAAACGAAGTTCTAAACCTAAAAACTGACGGAATAAAATTGTTGAAGTAGTGTGTTATTGACTTATTTCACGTAATAAATATGGTTTAATAAATTTATAAACAAGTATATATATATATATATATATATATTATTGAGAAGTGACGTTATCGTTGGAGGTAAAGAAAGAAAGATGCAAAAACTATAAATAATCACGGAGAGAATGTTAGGCACCGCCGCACCGGCCCCATTTGAATTCAGAAACATAATCTCTCCACAAACCCAACGACGTGTGTACACCAGTTTTACTTTAGAAAAAAAAAGTAACTAAACCATATCTTTGGGAAAAGAAAAAACACTAAAACCTTGATTTTTTTTTTTGGTAATTACACTAAAACCTTGATGATACTTGTTTCTCTTCTTCTTAAGTTGTTTTTTTTTATATAATCATGTGGTATTCTCCTCAACTACAACTTAATTTCTACAAAATTAATTACTCTCATATAATTAATCATAGTTCAACACAATTCATAAGAATATTAAATCTATCATTCCCTAGAAGACTGGAATACTAATATTGAAATAATTTAGATATAAAATCTCATGATAAAGATCTGTGGAAATTTGGGACCCAAAACATCAATAATTTATGCAAAGGTCAGTCACTCGGTTATTTACTTTTTAGCAGATAGTGACCAGCTGTCCTCTTTTACTGTCCATTTTTCAATCACTTTTGATAGTATTTTGGCTTTGTCCCTCGTGCGAATCTGTATCCCATTTTGTTTTGTTATGACATATTTAACGATAATTTGTGACATAACGTGGTTAATTAGTGCCAGAAAGATGCGTAGTTTGTATATATTTTCAATCTTCACAATAGCAGGGAGATAAAAGGAAATGCCAACAAGTTTGATCTAATTGCTTTTGATATATTAGAGAAAAAAAAAGTAAAAAGAGTCAAATCAAAATCAACATAAAAAGAAAAAATTATTGCAGCTAGTCGTTTTAATCAAAACACTAATATAACATGCTAGATAAAATTCTAACAGTTTGATGCGGTTCAACTTTCATTTGGGATTGAACTCTAAATATTTTGCTTGTAATGGTGAAAGAAAAGTTTGTGTTTAGTTCATGTGACCGACCTCTTCTAATTAATAAAAGAAGAACTAGATTTGTGACTTGTGAGAGCCATATGATTGAAAAAGGACCATAAGGTTTGGTACGAGTTATGAGTGTACTCTTATTATACTATTCACTCACAAAAAGGTTGATGAGAAATTACACATTTATAGGGGAAAGGGAAAGAGAAACCTACAAAAACATTAGGTAAAAGTTTCCAAAATGGCACATGGGTACTGAATATTTTATCGAACATTCTAGATAATATGATATATAAATTTTCTTTGGCCAAAATTATACAAAAGTATATAAAATGGCCTATAAAAAAAAAATCTTCATATCATCTCTTAATCTAACTATAGAAAAATGGTGATCACATTTGAAAGATAGATACTCTAATGTAACGAAGCATATTTACTTACAAAGATTTTGTATAGAAAAAAAAAGCTTAATCAGAAGCTACTATGTCGGCAATTGCACCAGTGTACGATTCTGCTTGTGGAAATTTTCAAAATTGGTGCAGGCGTTTTCACGTGCTTGCTTCTGCCCATCCGTATACATTTGGCCAAAGATTTTGAAATATCTCTAAATACCAAACCAAACAGAATTCTAATTTTGGTTACAAAGATCCGAAGCCCCTTACAATTTTCTTTCCCTGCCGAATTATCTGAACAAAAACTAAGACATAAGCCAATGAAGGGATTTCGAATTGGATCACTGTTTTGAAACACAGGCCAAATGTCAAACTTTGCATCTCATCGGATCATGTCTTGATTTTGTTCGGACCAGTTCAACATGTATGATTGAGATTTGAGATCTCGTTTAATTGCTAAACAATATTACTGCATAAAATAAGTAAAAACGAAAAATCAATATTTTGTCGTTGGCTTCTGTTTCCTTAATTCACACCCTATACAAAATGAAAATACAAAGCAACATAAAACTATCAATCTCGGTCGATCTCCGGTTCTCCCAATAACTAGAATAGCAGTATTCACTATTGAGTATTGATTGACTAGTAACCCTCACTGAGTGACCCCTACAATTTCATTTTATTCCTTATTGGTTATTGCAAAACGCCAACTATCCCAACTTTCAAACTTTTACACATACATATGGTGAATTTTGTCTTCTTCCCTTTTTTTTTTTTTTGTTAAAGATATGGTGAATTTTGTTAGACTTAAGTATATCGAAACTTGTATCAAAGTTTCTCAAGTTTTTTTTCTAAAAAATGATTTAACGGAAAGTATTAGTCTGCTATCTAACAGGAAAAAATCACGACTATAGTATAGTACTCATAATTTGTTTTCTCATTTCTTATAAATTCGGTCATAATCAAAAATACATAACTAATATATAGTCTCTGTATTTAAAGTTAATGTGTGACGCGGAAATTAAAAATTTGACAAAATGGCACAAAGAAAAATTGCAATTCAAGTGAAAACTTAAGATGAGATAGATACATAATTCACATTATAGTTGCAAATTCTAATGACCACTCTTGAAACCAACGGACGAGGATTCATCTAAAAGATCCAACGATCATAAACCCCTTGATGATTCGAAATTACACAAACGGAAATTAAAAAGACATTGAAATTCAAATTCAAAGACGAATAAAATTACACAAGAGAGAAAAAGAGAGATTAATTCAGTAATC